GCAACTTCTTGTTCATTATTTTAGACCAACTAAAATAATGAACAAGAAGGGGCAAACAACAATGATTCAATAAGTCAACGAGATGCTTAAAGTTTTTTCCACTTCGCGCTCATAATCATGGTGATCTTATTGGTTATTCTCAGGGTAAGAATGTAGCATCCGCCATAAACCTAAAGAGTAAGATTTTGTCACCATTAATATTTATTTATTATATTTTTTTATTTATATGTCATTTATTATACTCACGTATTTTTTTTTTCAATATACTGTACCTAGCTTCATGGCAGGCTCCAGGTTGATGAAAATACAGTCCAGGTACTTCTCCTCCCAAATAGAAAAAAAAAGTTCGCATAGTTTCTTGTAATCATTTCTTACAAAATTTTTTGAGGCAGGAGCCTCTTAGAGCTTTCTTAGCAATTTTATAAAGAGGTGACTTAACCTGAAGCTAACTGACCAATCAAACCTAACCAGATCTATTATCTTGTCAACCTCTTTTTTGAAAAAACACCAATTTTTCTGGAACTTTGACATACAGCCTGGAAGTTTGACATATATTTCTGGAAGTTATTCATTTTATTCTGGAAGTTTGGCATATAGTTTGATATACATACATTTTATTCTGGAAGTTTGACATACAGCCTTTTCCTTAGGCCCTTTATCTTTTCTATAGTCAAAGTCTCCATAAAGTGTGAGATATGTATTTTTAGCATATGTCTTTTATACAGAGACCATATAAGTGGAATATAAAGAATGGAGCTAAGGATAACAACAGTTCCACAGTGTATTTCAGTATTGGATACAGTAGTAACACAGCAAACAGCAAATATTTGATATAAAATGTCATTGTATTCTAGCAGATTCAAAATTGCATCAGCCTCGTCATTACTTTTAAAACTTGGTGTCTGAACCACACGTAGTAGTATGTCATCTGCGTCATCAACTTCAACACTGACCGCTATTTTTTCCACAGAAACAGTTATTTTTAGATCTTCTTCAAACTGTTTTATCCGTTTTTCCATTAAAATGAACACATAACTTTTTTTCCTTTCAGAGTAGTTATAATTTCTTTTTTTTATTTTTTATTTTTTTATTTTTTTTATTTTTTGTTCTTTATTACATTTTAAACAACATTCCGTTATAAATATACAAATTGAAAAACAAAATATAGAAGTTACAAGAAAATAACAAAAAAGAAAAATCGTAAATAAGAAATAAAAGAACACGGGGACTCGTAGAAGACCGTAAGGTCTTGTCGTCGAGAACCGCTAAAATGAACGTGATACAAACAAATTAAAAATATTCAGAAAACCCGTTATAAATATAAAGATCAGTTATATAAATACTATATAAGTTAATAAACATATAAATTGTTGTATATATTGATACATATTCTTGGTAAATATATACATTATAAAATAATAATAGTTCTTTGATAAGTGGAGGTAAAATGGGAAAACTATTAAAAATTACTAAAAGTAAATTGATAGATCGTCAATTGTAAAAATTAATTCTTTTAACTTTCGTTTAAAAGAGTTGTAGCTACATTGTTGGATAAAATCATAAGAAAAGTTTTTTAAGACAATTTTGTTCCATAAGAATGGTCCGCGAGAAGTAATGCAGAATTTGCTCAAGTTAGTTTGAAAAAATGGCTGCTTAATAAAATTGTTATTGCTTAAAAAGTATTTACTTTTATCTTTTAACATATACAAATCATGGAAAGAAACTGGTGAAGAATTAGTTTTACATTTGAACATAAAACAAAGAGTATTATAAACATTGAGTTGATATACATTTAAGGCGTTCATTTTTTTTAATAGAGGCTTTGCATGAGTAAGACGTTCACTAAAATGTATAAAACGTGCTGCATGCTTCTGATGACAATAAAGAGGTTCAAGTTTGCTTTTATTGGTGCAAGCCCATGCAATGTTTGCATAATTTATATGGCTATGAATAAAAGAGAAATATAATTGAGTTAAAATTTTTTTATTTAAAAAGTTTCTTGCTTTATATAAAATTCCTAAACTTTTTGAAGTTTTGTTATATAAATTTTCAATATGATTTTTCCACGAAAGATTATCATCAATATAAACACCTAAGAATTTTGTAACGTTTGCTCTAATTATTTCGATGTTATCAATAAAAAGGGATGGCATTTCATAAGGCAGTAGTTTTTTCTTAGAGGGCGGGGGAAAGAGAGTCCAGTTTGTTTTTTGAATATTAAGCGATAATTTATTTAATTTAAACCAGTAAGAAATCTTGTTTAATTCTACATTCATAAGTTGAAACAAAGTAGTGATGTTAGTATGAGATAAGAATAAGTTTGTATCGTCTGCAAACATGATTGTTTTTAATCTGGATACTTTATAGAGATCGTTGATATATATAAGAAAAAGAAGTGGTCCGAGAAAAGATCCTTGAGGAACACCACAAGTAATTTCTAACAAACTTATTGGAGAAGAAGCGTCAATGGTTACAAATTGTTTGCGATTACTTAAATAACTTTTATCCACTTTAAAACATTTCCAGTTATTCCGTAATTTTTGAGTTTTTTAAAAAGAATTTTATGATCTATTGTATCAAAGGCTTTCGATAGGTCGATGAAGATGCCTAAAGTATATTCGGATTTCTCGAAAGATTCTGTAATACTACGTGTTAGCTGGAGAATCGCGTGCTCTGTAGAGTTGTTTTTTTTGAGTCCATACTGGTGGTTAAATAATAAATTGTTGTTAGTTAAATGAGTGTAAATTTTGTTATAAATAATTCTTTCTAAGACTTTAGAAAAGACTGGAAGAACAGAGATAGGGCGATAGTTATTAATATTTGTTAAGTCTCCTCCTTTGAATATCGGTGTGATTTTTGCAATTTTAAATTGATCAGGAAAAATTCCTTGTCTGATTGAAAGTGAAAAAATTTTAAAAAGCACGTCTTTTATAGCCTTGTATGAATTTTTTATTACATTGCTATTTATATCATTGAAGCCACTTGCTTTATTTGGTTTTAGCGCACTAAAAGCTGTTTCAAATTCTTCAAACGATAATTCCAAAAAATCAAGATTAGCTAATGCAATAGATGAGATATCACTTGTTTTCTTTATATTTGGTATATTTCTTGCTAAATTAGGTCCGATCGTGACAAAAAATTTGTTTAGTTCGATTGCTATTTCACGTGGATCAAAAGAGATATCACCATTAATTTTAATGCCATTTTTCAGAGCGCATGATTTAATTTTTGTTTTCATATACCTCATAGAAAGATTTAAAAAATTGGTTGTAAGCAAAGTTTACGTCAGATGAAGTGTTTATATCTTTCCAATGAAGCAATGACAGTTGTTCATGAAACGATAATAAATTAGCTTCGTTATAGATACGTTTTAAAAAGGTTGTTTTTTCATTAGGTAGTACTTTTGGTTTTATATTTATAGAGAAAAAAATAGGGAAATGATCGGAAATGTCACTTTTAATAATACCCTTTTTTTTAAAGATTCATTAAAAACATCGTTAGTTACAATATTATCGATTATTGAAGCCGTTAATTCTCGTTGGTCTATCTATTAAAGGAAACGCTCCATTTTTGAATAATTCGTTATAAAACTTTTGTGTGCTTTGCTTGACGTGATAATCAAAACAATTTAAATTATAATCACCAATTATATAGATTAATTTATTTTCGTGGTCAGCTTTTTTCATAATATTAGTATTTAAATATGTGTTGAAGCATTTAATTTTTCCAGAAGGTGGGCGATAACAACAACTTAAAAGTATGTTTTTATTTTTTTGGGTTAAAATTTCAATTGTTAAAATCTCTTTATCGTCATCAGAAATACTCAGGTCGAGCCTTGTAAAAAATTGAAAACTTTCCATTATGTAAATAAGCACACCGCCGCCTCGTTTATTTGCTTTACGCGCTAATGATATTATTTTAAAACCAGGTAAATGGATATTACAGTCATAATTCACTTCGTCAGAATCGCACC